GAAGGGGGTGATGAAACTGAAGCGTATAAATGAGAAACACTGTTTTTAGAAAGATATTTATTAAAAAAAATGATTTAAGAGTAGTTGGATAGAGGCAACCTTTCAGTTTAAAAAAAGCGGAACACCTAGCTAATGCGTAGTGATCGTTTTTGAGATTGCTTGCCTTGAAACAGATTTTCAACGTTACAGGTAGTTTTCATTAATATTGTACTGAATAATGTAATTCATTCAATATTTATGTAGCGTTCTTGATGAAATGAATGAAAAAATAAACATGTGATATGAACACAGAACAGACTTTCTTTTTGGCCTTCTCATTTTCGATTGCATTACGGCTACTTTCTATCTTAACTAGACCTCTATTTACTATATATTTTGAGAAGTTCACCTCTTCAGAGTACAGTTAGTTTTCTACTGCTCCGTGTCAGCGCTCTACTTTGAGGTTATGTTACAATCGTATTTGCATCAAATTGTTCACGCTTTTAATTTATATCTGCTATATCAGCCTGAAATTTCCTACAAATCAAAAAGAAAACATAGCCTCACAATAACAGCGCGCTGACGCTGACATGGAATAGTAGAAATCTAGAAATAGCCCAGCCTGTCTGAAGCAGAGAAAATACTATGAAAATCAAGGAGACCATAAACGCGTCCTGCAATTGTAGGAACGACTGATCATACGGCCGTAAGGAGATAAAGAAAATACGACCGTGCATTTGTTCCTTCACAAGGTGAAGGTGTCATGGCAGAGATTTTTAGCGTCCTGTCGCCTTTACTATAACAGAGATCAGTCATTTACCTCATGCCTACCTGTCTAACTACGATGATGAATGGTAGAACAGTTGATGGACTATGCATCTTAATATCAGCTAACAGTAAATGGCATGCAACAGCAGCCAATTGAAATATATTTGCAATGCATATTAATTTTTACGTAGAACATGGGCATTGTTAATGTTAACAAACCTAACCTCATCTTGCAATACTCACGCTCGCCGTAAAACAATGAGGAAACTTATTGCGTTGGACTATGTTTTGCATTAATTGCCATAAGTAAGTGAGAAACACGCCATTCAGGTTAATGTACCCAGTTGTATTTGATATTGGTCTTATAATTTCTCGATATGAGAAATTGAGCGTTTTTGTGATAACCTAGACAAACGTATATCTAAAAGATCTTTGTAATAAATTCATTAATACTGAGTGTTCTTTTTTCATGTCACTTAGTATAGATGCACACCACAAAATGTTGTTGTTGTGCCAGAAGTGAATAAATTATTTTAAATTAGTAGATACTGTGACGTCACTCCAGAAAATGGCTACTCATGTGATACTAAAACACTTTTGGTAAGTAACTAGGAGCTATTTTTCGTTATCAAGCTTTATAGCAGCTATTCACGAATCGTTATTTACGATGCGGTATCCAATATTCCTAAGCACCTTTCATACCGCAGTCGTAAATGAAATAAAACATGCCTGCATTTGTTAGCATTAATGCTCGAGACCGCGAGGGGATGCTGTGTTGAATCATCCCCCATAAAAAAGTTTTACAGCGCCATCTCTCATATTTACTACATGGCATTGCTGGACGGGACATGTCGTCTAGACATTATAGTACGTATCTATGGTTTTCGAGGGCATAATTGGGGAAGGGATTTGAAGTACTTCTGTCGCCGTCGAGTCAACTACGTACTTTGCCGTTGTGGCGTTTCATGCTCATCGGCAATCATCAGTCTTGGCGCATGAGGAGGGTAAACCGCATTTTTACTTTTTGAAATCACACCCAGCTAGGCATGTTCAAAATAAAAAACGTGCTCTTTCCCTTTTTTTTTTGATTTAGTGGGTGGTTTTATTGAACCACGACGATTTCTCGCTTTTTTCAAAAGCTCAGCCGCATTATAAGCTTTGTTTAGTGTGTTTGCGCAAAATTGAAGAGCGCATGAAATATATTCTTTTTCTAATTTTTTTTGGCAACTCTTTCGGCCTAAAAAATGATTTTGTTAGGAAAGTATTGATGATATTTAAAGCCTAAAATAATAAATCGAATCTAATTTGAAGAAGCTCCGATACAATATTCCATTAACGCCAAGTTCACAAGCTGTAATGGACAGAGCCAAGTGCGCAAACCACTCGTCATACTTCCAGTTTTTCTTATAACACAACCAGCATTTCTGATATAGGCAAGGTGCTGGATGGAATTGAGTTTGCATCGGTCGCTAGATTTTATTAATAGATATGAAGTAAAAAGGGGTCACAAAATGATGATCTGGATCTTGCAGGACCACTTTTTGGTCCATTTTTTAAATACTCTCCCCACTTAAGTGGTTACAAAAGTTTTTTCACGCGTTAATTTTTTTGTAATTTCTTCTACAAGACCCTGGAGGATTACATTTATTATAAAGGGATTTTTAATCTAGTTTGTTAGGCATTCGTTTGAGATCTATAGATTTTGTAGTATCTACACCACCTTCATTAAATGAAGCAGAAACCAATGTTTCTGTTATAGCAAAGAAAATACTTACATGTTCCTAGAGACGCTAATCAAAGTAAGTTTTCTTAAATAATAATTATACGAAACTCTGTCATTCAACAAAACATTAACATATAGTAAACCAGTTGGGCCCTCCCTCGATGGGGTCTTATAGAAAACAAATAACTTGCTTAGATTCTCAGAGACGACTAGCTACAACGCAATATGGCTATTCTCACACCCTGTATAATAGAGGATCAGCGGTAACATTTTCGTAAAGCTTGTCTGATAACGATCAAATGGACCATTTTTGAGTAAAAAGAACTCTTGTTTCAGGACAGTTCTATTAATTATAGCAGTTTACTGGTTCCGCTATTTTGGAAACACAGTATCTGGTAACAATCCGTTCGAATATAAATTTCCATGTCACTAAGTCAAATTTTAGATTTCTGGGAAATGACTGCAATGTAAATTGCAGGCTATCGAAATGAAACAACACATATTGTTCAGTTAAAACATTAGGCCTCTAATAAAATACCATTTTCGGGATACATATACAGAGTGCAGCTATACTACGTTACGCCTAGTGATCTAAATGTGTTAATTGTTTCCCATGGAGATCAAGCTATGTCTCAATTGATTACTAAGCTGTGAATTATGGAA